TACATGCACAGTTTGTGCTGCTGTGTTTTTACACAAAATAAAATGGTGTTGTTGATGTCTCTCTGCAGAGAAGGAATCAGAGGAGCTTTCTGTGTCTGAAATTCTGGAGAGAGCCAACAAAGATCTGGGTGAGTGTGAGCTGCTGCACCTCCATGCTCCTCGTCTTCTATCAGTATATCCTCAGAAGGAGTTTGAGATGCTGTGTGATGTGTTTCAGTTCGCTCCGACAATGGGCCCATCCTGACTGAGTTGGACATCGCCATCGACAACGAGGCAGAGAGAAACGCCGACCCCTGCACCAGCCGTGGCTGCAAGTGGTTAAAGAACAGGGATGGAAAGGTCTACATTCCTTATTACATCACCAACAACTTCTGTAAGTCTCACACAGCCAGGCTAAAATGTCTGTCTGTATCCTGTAGGCTTCCACTTTTAATGCAGCTTCCTGTAGCAGCATCTCTTATAAAAAGGCTTGAGAGTGAGACTGAGGGGAGAAGGGTTCATATACAACACTGTAATCGGTCCACTAAGCCAGGAACCATGGAGTCATGACATGACAGACTACAAATAAAAACTGATTAGAAAGGTCAAACATAATAAGGATTCAGAAACAAAAATGATATCACCAAGGTGGGAAGACCCTTTGAATTAGGAGTATCATTACAGTTATTGAATTTATTTATTTATTTTCCTACGCCAACAAATGCCTTAAACAGGCAAACAGAAACTCCTCTCATTTAAACTGGAATCACTATCAGGGATAAATGACTCTAAATAACTAGACATAACTCAATTAAAGGGCACATAAAATGCTGATTTTTAGATGCATTCCTAAATTTGGGGTTTCTACTAGAACATGATTACATGTTTTATTGTTCAAAAAACATATAATCTGTCTCTCTTAATGTCTGACTGTAAATACCTTCGTTCACTCTCCATCTGAAATGACTCGTTTTAGCGCCTGTCTCTTTAAGTTTGTATAAACACAAACCTGCTCTGATTGGCTTAAAATTATGGATAAATTGGATGGAGATATTCAATACTGAACCTGCATGTAATGTAGAAGGGAGGCAAATCTGAATGGTTTTGTCGAATCCCATGTTTCCTGTCTCATTTGACCATTTATGGGTTTGTAGGCACTAAATAATGCAAACCTTCAGGAATTGTTGTTACACTCCATTTGAAAGAATATCTGCTGTAGTGAGCATACCTGTGATGTAATTTCAAGAAAATAAAAGCTCTTAAATAAGCTAAATATTGTGTGCTATGCTCCTCCCAGCCTCCCGCGAGAGGGCCATCATCACCCGTGGACTGGAGTCCTTCTCCTCCTTCTCCTGCATCCGCTTCAGACCCAGCAGGAGCAACGACCGTGACTGGCTGCAGATCGAGTCCCAGAATGGGTGAGAAATTGATGTTGTCAAAGTGTTGGAGACCAAAGCTTTCCTCACACCTCAGTGTCCTTTAACTCACCTCTCACTCTGTCCAGCTGCTGGTCCTTTGTAGGCCGTCGTGGGGGAAAGCAGGTGGTGTCTCTGGCCCGCAGCGGATGTCTTTACCATCACACCATCCAGCACGAGCTGCTCCACGCTCTGGGCTTCAACCACGAGCAGACCCGCTCTGACAGAGACAACCACATCAGAGTCCTGCTGCAGAACGTCGTGTCTGGTAATGGAGCTGTTTGTTATTCACAATGATTAAAAGAGGAGAGAGGAGAGCCGGTAAACGGAAGACAAGTATTCAGATGCAGGCATGCAAACATGCAGGTGTAATGATTGATATATACAGATACTTTGTGTACTATGACGTGAAAAATACAACCTGACAAACATGCAAACACATTGATATTAGACAATTCTGCTAATCTGCCGTGCTTATTGTCCTTAACAACATTCTGCCGCTCTTTAAAGCTAGGGAAGGTCATTTCTTGCTTCCCTAGTGAATAGTGGAGGACTACAAGGGCAACAATATCACAAGATCTACAACAACTGAAATAATAATTGACAACTATTTTCACAACAGGTTAATTATTAAAATATTTCTTATGAAATATGGCAAAAACTGCGATTTTAAGCCTCTCAAATATTGGGATTTGCTGGTTTGCTCTCTTACTGTATACATCATATTAAATAGGGTATGTTAGAGCTTAGTATGTCCTAAAATACATTAAAAAGGTTATTGGGATATTTCTTCAGCAGCTGGATTCTATCCTGTGTAAAAGTGAATTCAAACCAAAGTAATTACACATTTCTTTAATGTATCTTTTCTAGGTATGGAGCACAACTTCAACAAGATTTCCACCCTGAACCAGGGCACTCCCTACGACTACAACTCTGTCATGCAGTACTTCAGGTGAGAACAACATGAAGTCACTGTGTGTTTGATTATGTGTGTGTGTGTGGCTCACTGTAACTGCTTTCTGTCCTCTTGTAGGACTGCCTTCTCCAAGAATGGCCAGCCCACCATGGTCCCCATCCCTAACGCCAACGTGTCCTTTGGCAACGCTAAGGAGATGAGCCGCAATGATAAGGCCAGACTCAACACTCTCTACCAGTGCTGTGAGTGTCCACATGACCACATTATCACTTGTGTCTGTACTACACACTCATTTTGACCTAACCCTCCTCTCACTGTTACAGAGGAAGCTGTCCATGTGTGCTGACTCAGGATTAGAGGAATACTGTCTCCTGAAGCTCTATCAACAACAGAAGCTGCAGAGTCAATCATCACAATAAAGTTACTTTAACGTACCACGTTTTCTTTTCATTTTTTATTCATTGGTTTTAGTTTTTTTCTGAATGGCTAAGCCTATTCATTTGTATATAATACATATTTGGTGTTATTATTACACATTTTCTGAAATTCAATGTCTACATTTGCAAATTCAGCATTAGCTAAAGATCACTTTTTGTAAATGTGGGATAATTCTACAGATTCTACTAAATTATTAAAATAACCACATCAATGTTTATTTTGGATTTCTGCCTTCAAATAGTCTGGAAGAAGACATATTATATATTCATCAATATGTGAGCTGAACGCAGGGGGCGAAACAAAATTTCCAGGTTCATTTTGACATCTATAAAGAGAGACTTGGCTTTTATAATTTGGAATTGAAAAATGCACAACAGTTTTTAATTTCTGACATTTTGCCAAAATCAAAACTCTGAACTTCTATCAACCAGGGCCTGCACTAAAATTGCTTCCTTCTTCACTGACAACATTCAGAAAATCAAACAAGCAGTAAGTGCCTCAGGTACAGGAAATGTGTTGTCCCTGTGTCCACTTAAAATAAATTAAAAGACACACAATCCCATCTGATCAATGACAAAGACCTAGAGGACATTATACAACATCTGAAATCCATCTCCTGCTGCCTTGACACTATACCAACAGGCTTTTTCAAAAATGTTTTTCATTGCATGGCCTCAGATCTCCTTCATATAATAAACAAGTCTCTTCACTCAGGAGTATTTCCATGTTAATTGGAATAAAAGGTACTGCATTAAACTGGTTTAGGTAATATCTATCAGAACAGTTTTAGTTTGTTTATGCTCACAATTAATTCTCCATAAAAAACACAGTATAACATGGAGTGCCGCAAGGTTCTGTCCTTGGACCCATTATGTTTTCCTTGTATATGTTACCATTGGGCAATATAATAAGAAATGATCCGATACATTTGTATTGTTGCGCCAATGATGAACAACTATGTCATGTATGTATTTTTTATTGTGTTTTGTTTAATCTTAATTCATTTTATTTCTATTTGTATTTTACACTCTGCCTTGTCTATTAATTATTTTCCTGTAATTTTATTGTTTACAATGTTACTATTTTTATATGTAAAGTCCACTGCGACAGACGTGTTTTGTGATATTGGGCTATATATATAAACTTTGATTTGATTTCCTTTTAATGATCTGTCTAAAACTGTCTGGTAAAAATAGACATATTCAAAAATCTTATTACAATCAAAACCATTTATTTAGATTTTCTAGAGGAGGCATACATTAGTCGTCCTAAGGAGAAAATAATACATGTCAAATTCAAACACATGATGTAGTGAAACAGTTTCAATTGTGCAGCTTCTTAAGGCCCTGTCACACTGTCCCGAAATTGACACCCGATGGACACACGATAAAGGAAATGTTCAAATTCGGCTGTGATCGTAGCAACATCGGGCCATTCGTGAGGGCATCTAAGCCATCGTATGACCGCCGGTGGAGTTTCTCAGGCTCCGGCAGCAACTTCGTGAGCGGCAACTTCGTAAGGCACTCGTGAGGGCATCTTGTCAAATCGTGTCATCTTCGTGTTATCATCGGTGCATTCACCCTCACTCTGATCGGGGCGAATGCCCGATGGCACCGATGATAAAAAGATGCCCTCACGATGGCCTTACGAAGGGCAAAATTGACACACGAATTCAACACGAAAATGAACCTTCGCAAGGTCCTTCGGCAATTTTTTGACATGCCAAAGATTTTGCCACCGCTCACGAAGTTGCTGCCGGAGCCTGAGAAACTCCACCGGTGGTCATACGATGGCTTAAGATGCCCTCACGAATGGCCCGATGTTGCTACGATCAGAGCCGAATTTGAACATTTCCTTTATCGTGTGTCCATCGGGTTGTTTTATTGCACAACAAAATCATGTAAATATATTATGTAAATAACCCAATTTGTGTTCTGTGAAACTAAAAAGGATATAATATATTATTTTGAAGGACAGTTGACAGGAAGTTGTTGTTGTTATGGAAACAACATTACGGAGAAAACGTAATATTTTCTAAATATAACGACGGATAAAGTAAAGAACAAAGTCTGAAGATATCAGTACAGTATCATATTACTGTAACATAATTGTTTTTGGTACTTTCATTGCAGTTGTATGTCTTAAATGTAATGTAAATGTTGCCTTCGTGTGTGGTTCGGGGCCATCTTCGTGCGAAATTCACAATTCCATATTCGTGTGTCCATCGGGTGTCAATTTCGGGACAGTGTGACAGGGGCTTTAGGCTTTGCAGGTGGCGAGTCCGTAGCCCAGGCAAGCCCATTCATTGGTCATCTCCATGAAGTCATGAGCCCGCTCGCTAGAATCAATAATAAACACAAAATGATTATAATAGATCATTCGACACTTATGCTCAATACTTAGTAGCAATCACAAAATCAATGTTCAGCTTTGAATAAAGCAAGGTAGAAGCATATGATCATCCAAAAAGCTGTCTGTTTGAAATAAAAAGGAAAAGCATGCGTGGAGGAGACACTTCATATGTGATCCTGAACTCACCTGACAGCAGGTTGTAGAGGTTGCAGTAGTTTAGTCCACCGTCGAGAAGACTGGTGAATCCAAGAGAAGTGGACATTGCCTGATAAATAAAAGAGATATACATTGATTAGAAGGGTTACACACTGCCATAACATGCTTTATTGGTGGTTATCAAGACATATATGGAGTCGATCTTTTGTCTCATAATGCACACATAAATACAAAGCTGAAGCTACTTAGTTATGAGCCCCCATAAGTTGGAACCTAAAAAATTAAACACAGCAGAAGACCATCTAACGTCATTGATACTCACAGTGACACAGCAGCCACCGGTCAGCACGTGGGGCTCAATGTGAAGCCGATGTTCTCTCCCTCGGGCTCTTTAGGGAAGTGTGGTTGGCTTTGATAGTCAGAGGGGTGGCTAACCCAAGCTAAAAAAGAAAAGTATTCATTACTTAAATTATGATACTAGATCTGATGTATGTCCTTTTTTTAATGGTCTTCAACATCATTCAAAGAGTGGTTCTTACCATATACTCAGGAGTGAAGGCTTGAATCTGTGCAACTACTTTGGTGCTGACTGCTGATTTCTGCACAAGGTATCGAAAAGAGCCTAGAAAGTAAGAAGCAACAGTTTTAACACATTCATGCTTGAAACCAAAAAGCTACAAGAACCAGATCAGCGATCCCAACTCACCACATTGTTTTGCAGAAGGCATGATAAGGAGCAGGAGTAGGAACAGGGACGGCAGCCAGAGAGACAAAGAGTCCTGCAAAGAGAGCAGAGGCCAGCAGCAGAGTCTTCATGTTGATACGGAGCAGGTTTCTTCCTGGAGAGCAGTGGTGTTTCTGAGAGAGCTGGATGCTGACTGGTCCCCTTGCCAGCTAATTTATACTAAAAATCAGGCTTGTTATACACCATGAAATTGATTTTGTTAATAGCATCCCTTGTGGGTCTTGTGCTCTTTGTCCCAAATTACTAGATACAATGCCTCTTACTTTGACACGTAACAAACCTATGCACATTGTATTACAAAATATATAACATTTAACACATTCAATACATTTCAAATCAGTTAACATTAAGACATAAAGTCATCATTTGTCTTTTTAACATTAAGGGGTCAGTTCACTATTCTGGACATAATGTGGTTATTTTTAAACCTAAATATCAACTGTGTTCATTGTAACTTATTTTCAAATAATGGCAGCGTTTACAGTGTGATTGGTATTGCACACGATAAAGGTGACAGTTTCTGAACAGAGGCGCTGCTTTTGAGTGTTTTTAAATGCAATCTTTCAAAGTTAAGAGAGCTTCAACATATTAGTCGTCTCTATTGTACTGGAACAACCTATGAGAATACAAAACATTATTTCAAAAATAAAATTACATATTACACGACTTCATACAGGAAGTTGCATGAGAACGTGTGTATTTTTTTAATTTAGTTAAATCTAGCTCTAAATCCGATTGTGGATCTACTGGGAGTTTTACCTGAGGGTCTAGAAGGGAGGTCTAAGACATATCTATTAAGAATTGTATTGACAGCGGCCCTGAAGTGCATCATTAAATGGTTGAAAACAGAAACGCCCACCTATAACTGCTGGATTCAGAGAGCGTGGGATATCCACCACATGGAGCAAATAACATATGCAAAAAAATGTGCCCTTCCGGGGTCAGACAAACCCAATCAGGTGATTTAGGCCCAATCCCAAACCACTCCCTCGACCCTATACTCCTCCGTGATGGAGTGAACTCCGTCTGTAGCCACACTCGCAGCTCAACGAGGCTCCCTCCTGTCAGATGGAGGGAGTAAATACAGCAGCAAGCTTTGGGACGGCCTCCCCTCTCTCCGGCAGAAACAGGAAATGCCGTAACTGTATGTAACAACGGTTTCAAATCAGCATCTCTTAGACAAAAAGTTTAAATGAATAACTCAAATAAAACTCCAAACATCTTTCATTGTGTTTCAAAGCTCTTTTAGTTTTAAACCTGATGTTTATAAGCTTCTTAGTTTTTGCAACGGTCTGTAAATATACACAACTTTATAATAAAATGCACACATTTACCTTTTTCTAGACTAAACACAGGTATGATCCTAAGTTAAAAACATATGAGGTTATCATGAGGTTGTTAACATCGCAATTGATCAGTGGATGTTTGCTGGAACTACTTGTAAACAGCGTGTTTCCTGACGGACACACACAGCGTGACTCCGGTCAGGTAGAGACTAGAGAGGCTTCTCAATACTCAAATTTCCCCTCCTCGACTCCTCGGTCCTCGGTCCTCCGGTAGTGACCCGGAAATGAATTTCAGCGCGCCATTTTGAAGGACATCTAATTTCTCTAAATGCACACCGAGGACCGAGCATCGAGCGTCGAGGAGGCTCTCTGGAGGAGCTATAACCGAGGATACACTGATGGTTCCTCCACGGCTCCTCCACGGACGCATTTCCGGGAACGGTGGAGGCGTGACGCACGGCCGGACTTATCTCAGCCAATGATAGCTATGCATGCATCCCCTGGATATTATTTTAGAAACTGCTTTCATCGCGTCGCAATGTTTCCAGAGAGAACAGCTGTAAGGTCCATGCAGAAAGCAGAGCAGTGTGTATAATATATATCACTCAGTATAGCAGGCCTACTCTCTTTATTTGCTGTAGTTTAGTAGATATCTACAAACAAAGAGTCGATATTTTTCTAAGACCATTGCTTCACATAATAAAATACACAACGGCTTGTGCTTTTGGAGCTGTAGGTGTGTGTGGTACAGTGTGTAGGTGTGTGTTGTACAGTGCGTAAATGCGGCGGACAGACGGGTCTCAGTTGGTTTGGTGTCCTCTGCTTACTTTTAATAGGCCTACTTGTAAATACAACTTTTGGCCCGTAATTTCAATTCCCCATTTCAGCGACCAGAGAGAGGGGGGGGGGGGGGATATATCCAGTCTCTGATTGTGTTACGTTATTATGAGAGTGCTCTCATACTTTAAATTGTATATATTTATATAAATATATTTGTGTGTGTGTGTCCGCATATGTAGCCTGTTATTGTCTCATTATACCGCACTCTCAATTAATTCAAATTAAATATGTGGGGGAACAATGTTCAGCTAATCTAACAGAGATACAGCGCTATGACAAAACACTCGACAGCTGATGCAGCTGTTGCCACTAATAATGAATGGACGTCTCTTTAAAATGACCGCTCAGAGGAGAGGAGTTCTCATTTCTTTAAACGTCTGCTGCTTCCCCTCCTCGGTCCTCCGCTCGCATCTCCTGTGGGCGGGTCTAAGTCTCGAGGAGGGGAACCGAGGAGGGGAGTCGAGGAGGGGAAATTTGAGTATTGAGAAGCCTCTTATGGCGCGTTTCCACTGCAGCGGGTAGCCCCGTTTAAGCGTCCTTAACCGTCCTCAAGCGGCCAGGCCGGTTTTTGGTGGCGTTTCCATATAGCCTAGTACCGGCCAGCGGGTACTTTTTCCCTCTTTTTCCGGTCTCATAAAATCGTGGTTCCCTCAGAACAGGGCCAGGGCTGAACTAGTGACGTCAACACTCTCGACTGCTGATTGGTCAGAGAGAATCGTCACAAGATTGCGCGCGAGTTCATCCCTAGCGTCGCATATATATCTAGAAGCAAGCTTGCAGCATTTTTATAAACATCATTTTGTAAACGGATGAGCTACAAAAATGGCTACGTCTAATAAGAAAAGCACACCGTGGTCGACCGAGGAGGTGACGACGTTCCTACATCTCATTGAGGATGATCAAATCCAGCGGGAGCTCGACGGAACAACTCGAAATGTGAACAAAAACAAAGCCGATCGCCCCGCCTATACTGCGTTGCTACCCCAGGTCCTAAACTGTAATGGAAATGCGCCACGGCCTGGGCCGGCCAGCGAGGCAGCCCGAGGCCAGAGCGAGGACGCTTAGGGACGCTTAAACGGGGCTACCCCGCTGCAGTGGAAACGCGCCATTAGAGACCGGTCTCAAATCAGCACCGCTGCAGACCATCATGGCTGCTTCTCAGGTCGACTATTTTCATTTCCTCGCTCCTCGGTCCTCGGTCTCACCGGAAGTTGATTTGCCTGCGCCATCTTGAGTACCGTCCCATGGCTCTTATTTCTGCCGGAGGACCGAGGAGCGAGGAGCGATCATGGAGGAGCGATAACCGAGGAACCACCAGACCATCCTCCGATGAAATCCTCAGATACTCATCCCGCCCCCTTACTGTGTATCGCTCACTGATTGGACGAGGCAGTGCATGCACTGATCTGATGCTTCTTGACATGAGAGCAATACCCCAGCGGAGTGAAGAAAATACATGAACCTCACGGGACTCACTCCTCAGTTTATACCGTGTTTTGTTTCAATTAATGTATCATTTAGTTACAAATATGAGATATATCTGAACAACAAAGTGGTCAAAAATAATTTTATTAATTTATTGGAAACATTTTCATGATCGCTTTTTTCGTTTCACATTTTCATTTATTGTCATTTCCATTCAGTCATTCATTAAGTACTATTTAAAATATTAATTTGCTCCACACAAACAAACAAAGTGTGCAATCCAATGAATGTTAATCTAACTGGGTTTTGATAGATAACATATCTGTTTTTGTTCTCTGAATAATTGTATTCCTATTGTGCACTCTAATCAATATTAATCAAATTGTTCGTTTAAATACATTTTAAGAATGGCGTTTATCTTTTTTGAGAATGACTTCTTATTTTATTTCATGTATTTGGATCTACAACAGATGATACTAATGTTTATGTCAGTAAATGTGCACTAACAGAGGCGGGGGTGTTTGTGGAAATAATGGGTACAGAGCTGGCTGCTGCCAGACGAACAGCTGTGCAGCGTCATCACAAACGGACGTTGCTTCACCTCACGCTCCGGAGGAAAGGACGTCCCATTGCTCTTAAAACTCATTTCCCTGCTTCTCGTGGTTTCCTTGCGTCCCTCCATGCTTCCCTGGTGGGAGGGACTAAACGCAGGGAAACGACGCAAGTGAGGGAAGCAAGGATTTCATTTAATCGACCTGAGAAGCAGCCCATGGATGTATAATAAGAACTGGATACAGCGTGGGAGGCGGGGCCTCATTCATTCCTATGAGAGTTGCTCATTAGCGCATGATGACAAAATGGCCCAACTTTTGAGAGAGCGAAACGTCACAGATTACCCGGCATGCCTGAGAAGTACCCGTATGTGCGCTCATAGCGCATGCGCAACTTTGACCACGCCGCCCAAAAGGCTCGTTCACATTAAGCACGTGAATTTGCGTACACGTAACAACACCGCGCGTTCATGACAGCATGGTACTGGATTTATATTAACAGTTTAATAAAACGCATGTCTAATTTCATTTACTGAACCGACCTTTCCCTCACAACAGAAAAATTAAATATCCCTTCATTTAATTGTATTTATTTATACACAAGTTTAAATCCAAATATAAGATCAATCATAAGACATAATGGAGAAATGGGAAATGGGAAACCCAATAAGCTATTGGAATCTTGAGATAGGGGCCCAGACAATGGGCAATGTAGATAGATACATTATTAAATATGCAGAAAATACTTCCTAACCATGAAGAGTGTTA